TACAGTATCTATCTATCTACAGTATCTATCTATCTATCTACAGTATCTATCTATCTATCTATCTCAGTATCTATCTATCTACCTATCTATCTATCTATCTACCTACAGTATATCTACAGTATCTATCTATCTATCTATCTATCTATCTATCTATCTATCTATCTATCTATCTATCTATCTATCTATCTCAGTATCTATCTACAGTATCTATCTATCTGTCTGTCTGTCTGTCTCTATCTATCTATCTACAGTATCTATCTATCTACAGTATCTATCTATCTATCTATCTATCTATCTGTCTCTCTGTCTGTCTGTCTCTATCTATCTATCTACAGTATCTATCTATCTATCTCAGTTTCTATCTATCTATCTATCTACAGTATATCTATCTATCTATCTGTCGGTCTGTCTGTCTGTAAATCTATCTACTACAGTATATCTATCTACAGTATCTATCTATCTGTCTGTCTATCTATCTCAGTATCTATCTATCTATCTATCTACACAGTATATCTATCTACAGTATCTATCTATCTACAGTATCTATCTAACTATCTGTCTGTCTGTCTCTATCTATCTATCTATCTACAGTATATATATCTACAGCATCCATCCATCGAAAATGTAAACCTACCTATAAGGCAGAAATGATATTCTCAGACATATGTATAAAAATATTAAACTTAAATGAATGTATATATATATATATATATATATATATATATATATATATATATATATATATATATATATTTAAATTAAAAATATAAACAAAAAGCATTTTATTACAGATTTCAGCATTTGAAGATTTAAGGTTGAATATATTTTTTGCCACTCTGTTTACAACAAATATGTTTCCTATATTTTAAAAACATTTTGGTCGTAATATGTGTTGCACATGGGTATGCATTCTGTAAGCATCTTTCTTATTAAATCTTAAATGGTCAGTCAAAATACAAAATACATCTTGAATTTATCTGTGAATATAACTTTAATATCTTTGTGATTTCAGCCACAGATGTCAAGTCAGTGTAGAAAATGAAAATGCGATAATTTGAAGTTTATAAACAAAAATGTAAATATAGCACACATTGAGCTGCAGCTCTCATGCAACCGATGTACATTCGAACCAAGCTTGCAAAATCTCCCAAAGGGCCAAAAGGGAAAAAAGTTTCAAAAAAAATCACAGCTGACACAAAGAAAGTGATTTTTCCCAGTATTAGGTGGGGTCTCATCTGCCACCCCAGTGTCTGTGTGGCCTTGACTTTAATTATTCCACATCTGATGTCCAGGAAAGTGTGCCACATGCTACCTCGGGCACACCACCAGGGCCCTCCATCCGTCAACACGACACTGAAGCCTGTTGGCACATGCACAGTCACACGGAGGGCCAACGCTAACAACTGTGTTGGATTACGATGACACATTTGTCTCGGAGGAGAGAGCCGCTTTGGGCCGCAGTCATCGCTATGAACCAATTAGCAGATTATGGCTGCTGCTCTGTGCGAGTGGGTGGCCGACTGTTACGAACTTTCATTCTCATCAGCTTTGGTGTTCAAAAAAAGAGCTTTGGTCAGCATTATATTTCAACCTCGGATTTGAGGTTCAACGACCATCAAGGGACTTTTCAAAGAATTTCTACCTTTTTATAAATCCGAGCTAATAGACAGCCGCAACAAAGAACAATGCTTACCTATTGGTCCCAAAAGCCCACCCAATGCCTAAGACACAAGTCATTATTTAGAATTCAAAACACATGTGAAATATAATACAAACGCCTGGACAGCACGACTTGGTTGACCATGAGCTGAAAAGCTAGTATTTCATAATTATTACAGGTTGTGCCTCTAGACTGTCCAAAAAAAAAATGGAGAAAATGATTTATTATGGGCTGCAACATCAGACGCTAAAGGTCATTTAATGGTCCATAAAAATAAACCGCTCAGAATGATTTTCACTATAGCCCTAGATCACTATGACCAATTGTTTTTTAGGACAACATTTGATCCGTTTAAAATAGAAAATCTAAAAGAAATATGTAAGCATACATTTTATGCGCTGCACTCACAAGGTTTTAAGGAATGAATGTGGAAAGTCCCTGTTATTTCAACACTTCCAATGAAAGCAATCAAATCGTTCCGCTGATGAAAGAAGTAAAGCGCAATGTTTGTAGAGCTGCCACATGCAACTCTATTAGATGTCTAAAGGCATTTCTTCCAATTTGACTTTTTATCATATTCATCACAATCTCACACACTCCAAGAAATTCCCAGGTCCTTTGAATTATAGCGATGACCCTCGACATGTGGATTCTAATGCAAAGAAGGTGTTACTGAACATTTTGGGGAGGAAAAAGGGGAGGGGAGGGGGGGGGGGGTAAAAAATTCTGGCTAAAATATACGACTGACCAAAATACTCCCATTTAACCTTTATTTATGTGAAATGAACCTTCATACATACAATAGCATGATTTACGCCATGAGGTCTACTTTATAAAGCCTGTGATTTACAGCTCTGATGAAGTGTGAACAATTAACAAACCAAACATTTGCACATGCACTTTTAGTTTTAGTTTTGAACAACATCAAGTCTTATAAGTCGAGCATTAAATGGGCCGCTCCAGCTTTGTTCGTGGTTTGTCATGTTAACGGCCTTAGACATTTTATATTCTTTCGTCTACTCGTAACCTGTCTGCCAGAAACACAGGACTCAGTCTTCACGTTTTATTGACATGTTAGACTTATGGCCGTTAAGCTAATCGTGAAACGGCCGTTGAGAAGAAAGGGAAAATGCATGTAAGCTGCTTATTTTCAACATAAAGAGCCTTAAGTGTATTAGCTAATAAATGTCATCACAAATAACGTCATAGAAATGCAAAACGTATAAAACCACTGAGACTTAATCACAGAACGCTGACAGCTTCGTAAATGACTTATGAGAAGGTAAAATACAGTAATTACAAAATGTAAGCAATCTGACATTTACCTTATGATGCCTCAGGGGGTTGGTTCACCCAAAATTGAAAATTCTGTCACCATTTACTCGCCCCTTTTCTGTCATTCTCGTTCCAAACCCGTAAGACTTTCGTTCATCTTAGGAACACAACTGAAGGTCTTTTTGATAAACTCTGAGACATCTCTGTCCCTCAATTGACAGCTATACTTAACTACCACTTTGACGCTTCAAAAAATATGGATTCAGTGGTTTAGTCCAAATTCTGAAGTTCTGAAGAGACACGGTCACTTTATATGAAAAACAGGTTGAATTTAGGCTTTTATTCACATATAAACATTCATCCTATCACACACCAGTTGTGGTAAACGGAAGCTAAGGCATACTTACTTGACGTGCAAGAACCAATGAGGTTCATTCTCGTGTTGCACAATTCTCGTGTTTGAGCTTCTGTTTATGTTCGCTGATCAATGTTTAAATGTGAATAAAAGCCTATATTAAATCTGTTCATCATGTAAAGCGATCATGTCTCTTCAGAAAATTTGGACTAAACCGCCTGATTCATATGGATTAGTGATCTTTTTATGAACTTTTTGAAGCATTAAAGTAGCTGTCAATGGAGAGTACAGAACTGGCTCATATTTCATCAAGAGCTTCATTTGTTTTCTGAAGATGAACAAAAGTCTTATGGGTTTGGATCGACATGAGGGCGAGTAATTAATGAGAGAATTTTCATTTTTGGGTGAAATAACCCTTTAACAAAGTCTTTGCAAACACAATAAATCACATTTATACATCAATCCATCACAGTATCAAGCAAAGTCCCTCACTCGAGTCGTTTTACTCGGCGGCCATCTTTGAAATGCCTCTCGGGCAGCATGTGTTAGCCATGCAAATCTGACTACAACTGTAGTATATTATATTAGCTTATATTATTTGTTTCTTAACACAAATCATGCATTTTTCAGGCTATATATATATTTTTTTTTTTTTCAAGGCATATGTCTTTGCTGGTTAATATCAATCTTACAAATTCAATTGTGTCTTCTTAAGTTTCTCACCTCAGGCTGTATTAGAGAAAATCAGAAGCGGTTCGGTTCAGAGCTGAAAATACGAGAGCAGACAAATGCTTGTAATACAAAATACATTCTTTAATCTGTTTAAATCACTGTAAATACACAATGAGACATAACATCACTGTTACAACAGGAACAAAGTTAAGGACTAACCCAGGAAATCAGACATTAAACAAATACACAACATGAGCTCTGTGAAGAAACGTATTTTGAAAATAATTTAATAGAAATAGTTCTGCGTGGGGATTTTCATCTGCGGTGTAAAACAGAGCTTGAGGAAATGATCTCACACCATGCTATGACAGACAGTAAGTTGAAAGTAAAAAGTGTTTAATGTCTCTTTACGCTACTTTATTTCCCCCATCTGTTCCTTTTTACCAATATATACATGATATACAACTGCTTCTTAAATACATTTCGACAATTTTGCATTTTATTTACAATATAAGAGCTTATTAGATTTGAATTATTATTCTTTTTACTCTAGCTAAAACGTGGTGTGGAATTTTACAAACCAAAAGTACGGACTATGATTCATGATGCCATAATCATAAAAGCATCTGCACATTCACTGTACAGCACTCAAAACTGTAAACAACTTCCCTTGATAATCAGAACCGATTTAGTATTTCTGACAGAATAAAAATGCTATCTATTGAGTAAATCTGAACTAATGATCATATTTTTCAGGCTAATGCATTACTAGTGTGTGGCTACCTTGACAACATACTATCGTTCTTCTGTTTGGGTGTTGTTATGTACACATTTCAGATCATTTTTTATACAAGAAAACTCAAAGTGCACTTTCAGAAGGGCAGATGTCTGAAATTTAGAAACAGAGACAACTAAACATTAAAATTGCTCTCCACACAGTTATTAGCAATCGAGAAATCAAAGTCTGCAATAATGCAACCAAAAAACCTAGTTAATATCTTAGTGGTTATGCTGTGGAAAAAAAAACTATCATATGTGCATGAAATATTTAGTGCCAAAAAAAAAAAAAAAAAAACCAAATCAGAGCATTGAAAATGATACTAAAATGACACAGCACAGGCATACCGAAATACGCCAGCGCTTGCGTCAAACACATCAGTGATAAATATGGCTTGTAGATCAATAAACCTCCAGCAAATAATCTTGAAAAGAAGCACGGGGTACGGCTACGGCTGAGCGTCCACCATATCGGCTCGTTCCCACCCTGTTCTGGCACACATTCATCTGTATCTCTCCCTTTATCACAGCTGAGTAAGTCCTGGAGAAAGGAGCCCTCGCCCGCTCCTCCCCCAGAGGGACGCAGGGGCCCCAAGGTGCGTCTTGTTTTCCAGGGGCCTCCCGTCTCAGATCCTCTGGCACACGTGCAGCCTGGACCTGGAGAAGGAGGTGGCGTCTTTCCATACCTTGCAGGCGAGTCCTTTGGCGCAGTCACAGCGCTGGAAGATCTCCAGGCTGTGGGAGCCTTTCTTGCGCTGCTTGGTGCAAACTTCGCCCTGCCGCAGCACAGGCTTGCAGATTTTGGTCCAGAAGTGGCGAGCGCAGCAGTAGCCCTCCGAGCAGTCGGACGAGCGCAGGCAAGGGTCGCCCTCGTGACCTGCGGGTGAAGGGAGACGTCAGTGCCATTTCTGGAGCTCAAACTGAAGCGCAGAATGCTAAGGCTATGTTTACACGGAAACGATCTGAAGAGAAATACGCAAAAGGGGCGTTGCGTTATCACTTTTTATTCTGATTTTAGACGAGCGTTAGGGCCCTTACATAGTCAACGCATCGGTACGCATACGCGTGCGCAAGGCTACACATCGCTACGCTTCGGCCGCCATTATGCGTTGATGCGTAGCCAAATGTGTCATCCTAGTTTTTGATACGCGACGCGCCGATGCATGCAATACTATGCGTTGTCGGTGGGGGCGACATTGCAAGTAATGTACATAAAAAAGTATATTATTATGTTAACAGAAGAAGACGATTTGAATACAATGGCGGGCGAAGAGGAAAAGTTATGTGAGCTTGTTTTATTGCTGCCGATATAAAATCAGCAATATGCACTCCCCTTCAGTTGCCATTTTGATCTGAATATCACGTGACCCGACTCTAGACTCTACTACCCCCTGTTGCGCGATCGGTGTATTGCATTTCACGCATCGCCTGCTTGTGTACTATGAAAAGGAGCGTGTAGCTCGCGTCGCTCGCGTTGACTATTGGCGCATTTCCACTACACAGTACCAGCTCGCCTCGGCTCGACTCGACTCGACTCGCCTTTGTTTGGTTTTCCACTGTGTAAAAGTTGTACCTGTACCTGCTTTCGGGTACTTTTTTTCGTACCACCTCCGGCGAGGTTCTAAGCGAGCTGAGGCGAGCTGAGGCGATACTAAAATGTGACGTGAAAACAATGCCGACTGCTGATTGGTCACAGAGAATCTGCGTCATCATTGCACGCGCCAGATGGAGTATCCAGAATAACCCCGCCATTTTTAAATAGTTTGGCCAGAGATAGTTACTAAACTTACTACTATTATTATGGCAACTCGGAAGAATATGCCGTGGTCAAACGAGGAGGTGCAGACATTCCTTTGTTTGGTTGCCGAAGAGAGGATCCAGCGAGAGCTTGATGGGGCAACGAGGAACGAAAGGCGTCGCTATGACGACCGGGTACTATTTGTGGCGATACTTTCTGCAATGGAAAACGGAACGAAAAGTGAGCCAAGTTGAGGCGAGCCAAGGCGAGTCGAGTCGAGTCGAGTCGAGCTGGTACTGGTAATGGAAAAGCGCCATATGTAACGGCCCTTATGGTTGGGAAATCCGCGTGCATATGGTGACGCAAAAGTGTGTGAAATTCGATGTAGTATGCACTCCAGGTGGCTAGGTGGCAATGTGAAGTACTGCCACATAACAACACCAATATCTTAGAATATTTTGTACAACTGCTGAAAAGACTCTTGTATGTTTTTCAGAGCTGCTAGGGCAACTTGAAGGTCCGACGTATGGAAATAATCTGACATGTTGGTTGTTATTTTCCTGTACTGGCGCATGCCTGTGACGTAAACGCGTACGCGATGAGAGCCACCGTGAGCAGATTTGCGTTTTTACCGTTTAGACGGGAACGCGACCATGGCGCGTTTTTGAGATTTCCACTCTGGAGGGTGGTTTCACTTTTTTGCCTTTTTAAGTCCCCAAAACGCCGTTGCCGTGTAAACGAAAGGCACATCCGATAAAATATTTTTACGTTTTCACCCGGAATCGTTCTCGTGTAAACGGGGCCTAAGTGTGATAAGCTGTGCTCGATGTAGTATGCAAAAACAGAGTATGTCCGATTACAAAACAGTAGCCCAAATTACAACCATGGCCAGAACTTATGGCTAGTTACTTGGTAAACCATAGGTACCATCCGTAGGTTTCTGAGTTGGGTGTGTACGTTTTTAAATACGAGATACTATCTTGAGACCACGAGTTACTTATCTTGAGGGGCCACGAGTTACTTATCTTGAGGCCACGAGTTACTTATCTTGAGGCCACGAGTTACTATCTTGAGGCCACGAGTTACTATCTTGAGGCCACGAGTTACTTATCTTGAGGCCACGAGATAGTTATAATAAATTTTTTTGACAAAGTGGGACTAGGGGGGCTCCGTAAGGCTGTAAAAGCGGACTGAGTTTACCTTTTCGGCGTGATGACATTTAATCTCCTTGACAGTCCCATTTAACCACTTTTTCAAGACAAGAAACAGCTTCAAAATATCCCGAGTGGGGTACTACTACTGATGTATTTTATGTCATTGAATAAAACGTGAAAGTGTCTTGAGCTTGTGTTCACCACAGTCCTTATTTCAGCCTTTTAACCAAAATCCCATTTTAAAAACCCATTGACTTTGGGACGATGGAACCGGAAGTGCTAAAATGCTAACTCGCTCCCGCGTTTTGGCCTACAAAGTGATGTCACACCTGCACCACTCTATGTCAGACCCAGTCCAAGGCGAATCTTACGCACACTCGACCTATCTGTCGCCCATGCAAATATTCTCCGCAACGTTCAAGTGAAATCAGAAAACAAAGTGCAACCAAATACGTCACTGCGACTGATATAGATCTACTTACAAACAAATGCAAAGCAATTTTCCAATGGTTGTTCACTTGTCCAAAATTAGAAACAGAGCTGGTTAAAGTTGGCATGAAATGAAAGTTGCCATCGTCTTTTGTTTAGTCCATATTTAGTCGAAATGGCAGTCGGTACAACATTTAGTGTGCCTCAAATGGCTCAGTCTAAATCTGGTGTGGTTTAATTTCAGTTTGAGAGCGTGACTGAGCCGCCGTGTTACTGAGGCGAGAATACAGAGGTGAGGAAACGGCATCGTGATCCTTCCCACACAGGCCTCCCGCTGTGGTTAAATCTTCAAGATATACGAGCTGCATGTAGTTGTGGGCCGCTGTCCCCCTCAACACATGCATGTAACCACATCCAGTGAATCAACTCATTGCAGACATTGTTCATAAGTGAGTATGAATATGAAACACTCTCAGTCTCAGATGGCCACAGACCGCCCACAGTCTGATACGAACAGCACACAACACCAGACAGAAAAGCACATGCTTGAAATCATATGCAACTTCCTGAACTCAGGATACACAGTGACTGTTTTCCAGGGAAAATGGATAATTGGAAAGTTTGTCAAAAAAAAAAAAACATGGTTCTCCATTTGCGCCTTTGTCAGTTCCTCACCTTTGAGAGAGATCTTGGCCTGAGCTTTGCCGTTCTTCCTCCAGCCTTTGTCTTTGATAGGAAGCGTGTTGTGCTCCTCCATAGGTGATTTGTGCAAGCTCTCTGAGATGGGGATGCAGATATCTAAGGAATGACAGAAGAAATCCATTGTAAATTCCCCCCAAGTTAGTATAAAGACACTGGGAAATCAACAGAAGAACGTACAGTTGCTGCAGCGGTTTCCAGGGCAGCACATGTTGTCTCTATGGCAACGCTTCTTTCTCCTGCGGCAGGTGAGGCAGCGGGACGGGGCGTGTTGGGGACTGTGGCAGTAAGTTCCCACCATGCACTCTTTATCACTGCTGCATGGATACCCCTGAGAATGAGAAACACAGATCAGGTCCATTTCTTCTCCACCAAACCCTGTTTTCAACACTCGTTTGAAGTATAAAAGAGTGAGCCTTTACACATTCCTTAGTAGGAATTAAGGGTGATGATTGTGTATATAGTCTGTCAAATTGATGTCTCTCAAAAACAGGTCACGAACAGTGCTTGACATTAACACCCGCCAACCCGTGTAATGCAGTCACTCCTGCTAGCCACTTTGTCAGGTTGAATTTTATACATAATATATACATTTTTCAATTGCGATTATTGAGGTCAATATTGCGATATGCGATTGCGATATAATAAACAAATGGTTTCATGAGTCAACTTGCTTGGTTCTAAAGCAAAATGCACACACAGATTAGTGATAATTCTGAAATGTGTATTTCTCAACTCAAACTAGCAACAACAACTAAATGATCAATAGGAATTAATTTAATTTTAATTTAAGTGAACTTCAAACAATCCTCACATAAACCCATAATAAATGTCATATTTACCTGTGCTCTTCCTGTCTAACAGGTAGGACATACAGAAATTGAATAAAGTTATCAAACAGTCTGCGCAACATAAATTATAAATTATATGTACTAAAATCCTATTTAAAGCTACACAAGTTCTTTGGTCAAGAGCAGTGAGTGTTTTTCTCTGTTCCCTTTGTTCTTTGATTAACAGAAAGCATTATTGGATTACTGACAGAAAGCATTATTGGATGCTGGCCCTTTAAGAGTTGCTGACAGAGACGCGGATCTCACACGCGCCTTATTTTCTCACAACTCTTTACGACGACGACCATCATAAGACTGCTCTTATGTTATGAAGACACTCGACAAATGATATTTTGGCATAACTGTGTGTGTTATTGTTCGTTCACTTCAAGCGGAAAGAGAACTGTATTCTGGCCGCGGTCTGTGCACGCGCATGATACTGGCGCGCGTCTTTCAGTCAGGACATTCACAGGCAGCGCGCTCTAATTTTGACTTGTCTCGCTGAATGGTTAAAGCATTCGCATGAATAAGAGCGGGATCATGTAACACTAGACAAAGGATGACAAAAAATAACAGATGCTGCGTTAACAGCCCTAATTTGTTTATTTCATATAAAATCGCAGTATTTTGCGTCATATAATCGCATAGGCTTGACATCGCGATTGCGATATGATTAATCGTGCAGCACTAAATTGTAGTCTTTCAAACAGGCATCTGAAATAATGAACTAAGTGCAATGTTGTCAAAAATATTGATTTTTCAATACTGAAATATCTGAAATGCTTCCAATACTCATTTTCCACAGAATAGATACATGATACCAGCTAGCTACGCTTTCTCACTCTCTTATCTCTCCGACAGCGAGTTACACACAAACCCGCCTCCACTCACTCACTCCTTTCATTTGCTCCAGATAAATATTGTTGGCGTTACAGGGCTTGAATTTCGGCGTGGGATTGCACTTATTGCGCATAATCTTACTCATTCCCGCAGATTTTGTGCTCACACCCGAAGTGCGGCACATAAAGCCACCTCTCAGCACTAAATTGAGTTATTTTTTGCTACTTATTGCGTCAAATACACACAAAATAATGTCAAAATGCCAGTCTTGGTGAGTATTTACATAAACACAGTCAGTTATGTTTTAACTGACCGTAAACAGTTGAGAGGGAAAACGCAAGTGTAACAGTATAATGGATCTGTGTGTCAGGTCTTAAAGTGACAGCAGCCTAATATACATACTGCCAAATTAGGAGATAATGTTAAAAATATCTATATGGAAATTTTTCCCTATGGTATCGATGTCAATATGTGGCCAGTGACAATGCTGAGAGGTTAATAACTTTGGAAAATCACTAGCCAAAGTGGCTGGTGAGCAAAAAAAAGTTAATGTCAATTCTGGTCACAAACATTAAAATGAAATAAGAGGATAATGATGCCATCAAATAGTCAGGAACAGAAAATATTACAATTTATTAGTTTTGATTATTCCAACTCTGGATCCCCAGTATCAACTATCCCTCATCCCTGTCGCCAGCTATATTTCATCTTTAATGTGACAGCTGGAAATTATGGATGAAACAACATGCAAAACAACAAATTAAAACGAACAAACCCCGCATCTGAATATGCCTACTTCCATGCTATATAGCAGGGGGAAAACAGTAGTAAGACGAGTAGCATGTCTGAATTCACAGTATTCATGAAACAGTTAGCGAAAAGTATTATGATGACTGAATACTTCCGGCGAGATTCTGTAAAGTGCATTTGATGGACACTTAACTAAAACAAGACAAACACTGTAACAAAATTACAGTAATCTTAATACCGGGGAGTTCATTTCCACTACAATCCATAATTGATTTGCAATATGACACCAGTTGTTTGTATCTGCGGACATTATACATTATGGATTAATTTCTCTGAAAAACAGAGACATTAGGATAATCAAAATATAATATACAATATATATGTGTATGCTCAAGAGGATAACATAAACCAAACCAGAATGACGCACATAAACCATGATTTTTATGTGGTTAAACTGAAAAGTTGTAATGCAATTTGAATCATTGCATTAATAGTACATAACAGTACATTGATAAATTGTCTAATATGTGTTTTATATTAGCGTACCTTTGAGTTATAATCAAGTTAGGCCAGGCTAAACTGGTTTGAATTGGTCTAGGTGCGCCAAACCCCTCCAAAATCAGCAAACCAGACCCGGCTCCTTATTATAAGGCTAAATGACCTTAATATAAGATAAAACGGATGAGACGGAGACCTTGACAAGACATTATACAAATCACAAACTCATGAAAAGAAACCAGCCAGTGAAGAAACGCTTTACATTACCCGTAACAATCTTCAGTTTAGCGTCAAATGCAAAACATGTGGTCTGAGAGAGGGGGGGGGGGGGGGGGGAGGGATATCTCAATATCTAATAACAAAAGAAATTATTCTGTTTAGTAGATCGACAGACCTCAGGGCAACCTTCCTTTAGTAACAAAATTGGTAACATTGAAAACACATGATGAAACCCAGCCAAACCACCAACGATACATTCACGAGAGGAATGAGGAACGAATGAAGCCCATTAAATGTTTAAATACTAAAAAGTTACTGACCTCAAAATTCAGTATTCATTCGCCGCATCATTAGAAAGTTATTGAGTGCAGTGCATTAGTGGATGAATGAATGTAGTAAACACCCCCTTATTCAGTTCGGTTACATTATGTGCTTAGACGTAAAACATTCTCAGATTTCCGGCTAAATCATGTCAACTTGAAGATGCGAAGTGGATGAGACAAATTTTGATTCCAAAGCTGCAAGACTCACCCGCATCTCATACCCTTCTCTCCATAGCATCCCATAAACCACCAGAGCCAATGTAGACACATAGACGTGTCTGCACATAATCTGGCAACGTCATCACATCAGGATTTTAATGACCCGGCCAGCGCTTGGATACGACTCGTTGATCCTCATCCCTCATTGATTCCACAGTCTGTTTTTATTCCTCCCATACGTTCATGTGTGAGATAAGTGTCGAGATGATAAGCTCAGAGACAGACAGCGATGAGGGATGCCCACTGGCCCCTGTGTCACCGCTCACATGCTAGCAAAAAAAAAGCGGACTTTGAAGACTAAATGTGCCATGCCTTTGAAAAACATCTCCCTATCTGTATTCTCCCTCATGCCTCCAATATAGCATTCAAGGATTTATATCAGGTAATACCCAGACTATGTCACGTCTTATCTAGCGAGTAGCAACCGATAAGCATGCAGTACTTTAGCAGGCAGATTTGTAAACTGGCTGAAAAATATTGCAGTCTATTTTTTATTTAAAAAAAACTTTATTTAGGCTATATCAGTGCTGTCAAATTGATTAATTTACACGATATATATATAATCAGATAGATAGATGGAAATACTGTAATATTTGTGGTTTACACAAGAAAAGAAAATAGCATAACTTTAAAAACATTAAATAATAAACTTGACTTCAAATATAATATATATATATTTTATTTATATAATATGTATAATTATATACATATACAATATTAATTTATACATAATTTATATTTGATGTCATATATATGCATATATTTAACTAATTATATAAATAATTTTACATTTTATTTTAAATAAATATGTATTATAAATGGAAAAAGTTAAATAATTTATATAATTCGTATGATATATGTATATATATATTGTATATAATTAAAAAAATAAATAGGAAAATATAAGAAAATAATAAATAAAAAAATCTGCAACAAATACAAATTCTTTATCAACTAGCTTTGAGCTTATAAAGTAAATATTGTGTACACAACAGTTTACAAAATAATCTTCTTCATCTATACTATAGGAATGCAAGACTCAAAGACTATCGTGATAGGGTTTCCACACATAAAACCCATGTATCACACACACATGTTCCTCTAGGGCCCCGGGGCCTAGCTTAACTTGACCTTGCAAAAGCAAAGCTGACATCTGACACCATGAATGGTGTTAGTGAATTGAGAGGGTTTTCAAGAGTAAAATAAACTATGTCACTGAACAAACAAACCTTATCCACCCTCAAAGGGCATGGCCCTGTGTATCAGATTGCACAGGAAAGCAAGTGAAGGCTAATCTCACCAGCACTCAAAACATATCTGTAGCAAACCCTTAAAGGCATTATTGACAAATATGGAGGCTGTGGGAATACGAGTTCCTACTTAATTATGTGATGGGTATATTTTTGTCACAATAAAACATCCATGTTGTGTAATTTTATTTTTCTCTACTTCCCAATAAAGACTAGCGCAAGTGCAATAAAAACCCTAACAAATGCGGTGTAATTTATCTTTGTTGTGCTGCCACAGAATACAATGACAATACAATGTCACCTCATAAACCAGCTAAATCTTTGAGAAAACCATCCTAAGCTGGTTTGCTGATCTTAGCTGGTTTAAGTCTGTCTTCCAGCCTGGCCAAGCTGGTCTTTAGCGGGTCTAGCTTGACTCACAACCAGGTGAAGCTGGTGTTTAGCGGGGCAGCTTTAGTTTTAGTAATATTGTTCTGTTCTTGTAATTTTTCAATTAGCATGGCTAACTGGATGCTAACCGTTACATCCATGGAATTCTGGGAATGCTACAGAAATGCGGCATCATGCCTTGGCAAATGAAATCGTGGTTCAGAAACTCATGGTCATTATACCTTCTAGGCTGTCTAGTTCCTCAAAGAAAGTAAAATCCAGATGATTAGCCTGGTTAGCGCTAAAAAGCCGCCACACCTCTGCCTGTTTTATTTCACTCTCTCAGCTCGTTAGCATCACTAAACAGTCACTTAACCTCAGAGGGAGCAGGAGAGGGCGACCCACCTCGCCTCTTTACAAGCCAGACCCAAACAATCCCCCGTCCCGCTCCTACTCGTTAACGGAACCTCAGCGTCAAATTAAATAAGAGGAAAAGCTAAAAGTCCCAAAGCTGCGGCACTGATGTGAAACAGCGCTCGTGTTCATGCAGAATACTAGCCTCTTCCCCTCTAGTCGAGAGGTTAATGTGGTGAACAAGTTCTGCCAATCCCAATATCCTTCTTTTTGGGTTGCCCACAACTGGAAACCACCATTAACCCCCCTTGAAAATTTACTCTTAAGCGTCTAAAGTGAGCGACTTCGGTTTGTTGGTGATTTGTGGACAACATCAAGCCAACATCTGACATGAGTTTCATCAGACACATTTTAATTAAGTTGTTGCTACTAATAAAACTCTTCCATCATGGCTACAGGCCAGCTTTACTTATAGCACGAAACGGCGAACCGATTTCGGCTTGTCTCCGTTAGGACGGATGTATGAAACTGGGTGGCCGTTTCTCTTGCCTGCCTAATTTGCAGCACTTGGGAGTACGCCAGTGTGGGAGATTTATTGGGAGCTTGTGTTATAATCTTCACCATATCCTTGAGCGTTAGAGAGTTAGAGGACTTGAGAGGAAACATTTCAGCAGCTGTGTAATGACATATAAAAATGTAAAGCATTCTTTAGACAGCTCGCCCAGATGGGAAAGAAAAATGTAGGACAAGTGACTACTAGGACATCATGGCAAATTAAATTCAGGCACACTTCTGAGTGCCACCATTCAATCTTTTAGAGATATTCAGTCACTATATGAGTCACCTGCAGAACTTATATGGCTAATTCCCTATTTTTCTTCAGGTCATTTGAATTGTAGTTCTTACCTTAAAAGGGTAGGTGATTTTTGGAGCCGCTAACAATAGCAAGTTAGCTTTGAAAGCATAAGACCCCACCCTCATATAACCTTCCACATCACGAGAGACGGCATTAAACTACCTCATGTCTCAAAGCAAATAACATTACAATAATAATGAACAAACTACTTAAAGAGCTCTGACCTGTACCACTTGACTGCTGCAGATTCATTTTGTCGTTGATAGTGAAACGCATACATTTGAGTCACGAACCCCTCTGAGTATAACGTCACGGGTTTCCATCTCTTCCAAATTACAGCAGGTATGGTGTAAACGCAGCATAAGCTGGTCGTTTTGGTTCAGGAGGAACTGTAAAAGGCGGCTGGTGTTTCGGTTGCGGTGCTCGGTGACTGATGTCTGTCTAACTCTGCATTGCATGAAACGGGCTGATGATGTGTGATGTCTGGAAAAATTCGATCATAATGAACTAACTCTTCCCAGACTGTTAATTCACATATATCAAACAGCTAACAAAAGATGTTTTTAATTTGTCAGTGCTTTTTCCAAATAAAATTCAATAAAATGTTTGGGTGCGGCAAAGTCCAAAGTTAATTAAACTTTGACAACAGCTTATTGTGAGGATCCATGCCTAGTTTTGTTCAATTTCGCCCAAAGGGGGAATTAAAAAACAATAACTTTGATTGAGGAACTTGAAATTAGCATGCATCATATCATAACATGCATCATCTGTTATCAAAGTAGCAATAAGAAAAATCAACATCACGAAATGTTGTAACTAAAACAGGATGTCTATACGAGGCTAATCAGATGTCAAATGTTTTCAATTTCCAATTTAAGAGGGCATTAAAACTAAAGAAAATTCTCAAAGATGCAATTGCAATCAAGAAAGTTGACAAGGTTTCCTGTACAACAGATGTAACCCTATGTTTACATAATTTATACACAACTACAAGTTTCTTTGGCCCCGTTTACACCTGGTATTAAGATGCGTTTTGGGCGATCGGATCACAAATGCTAAATACAGGTGCGTTAAAACGTTTTGAGCTTGTAGTCAGAGGTAGTCAAAAACTAATTCGACCGAATTGCTTTCGTAGTGTAATCGCTCATGTGATTGAATGCGTTCAAACAGCCAAAAAGACCTCCTACTCTCCACCAACTGACCTAATGCGTAAACATTATGGGAAGCGCACTCGCCAGACGGGATTTAAACTTTGTCTGCTGGAGTCCCAAGTTTGGTTTGAAGACGAAAAATGTACCAAGCACAATGTTCTCTCACCATTCCTGATTTCTAACACACACTCACAGCATTCGGCTGGTCTTCCGGCTGAGCAGAAACGAAAGCTAATGCTTGCGTTCATATGTAAATCGTGTGAGCTTATTTACCTACATACATTTACCCGCCCATAGAATCTCCCTCCGAAGAAATCAGAACAGAAGTGGTTGAAAGTGGACAAAAGAGATGGATTAAAACACCAGGTGTAAACGTGAATGTGTCTCCCTTGTCTTGTGATCCGATCGACCAAAACGCATCTTAATACCAGGTGTAAACAGGGCCTTTGTTCCATAAAAATTAAGCTAATCAACATACACTACATGCAAAAAACAAACAGCTTAAAACCAGTCTAAATTGGTTTTGTTGCAGAAAATAAACAGCTGAAACCAGTCTAAATTGGTTTTGTATACACCCAAAGTCTGGTTTGGTTGGTTTTAGGGGAGTTTTGTTAGTTGGTCAGGCACCTTAAACCACCTTAGACTAGCACAGGGGTAGGCAAGTTCGGTCCTAGAGAGCCGCTGTCCTGCAGAATTTAGTTCCAACCCTAATCAAACACACCTGAACAAGCTAATCAATGTCTTCAGGATTACTAAGGCTATAGGCAGGAGAGGTTTTTTTCAGTGTTGGAGCCAAACTCTGCAGGACAGCGGCTCTCTAGGACCGAACTTGCCTACCCCTGGACTAGAAGAACAAGTTAGGCTGGCTTAAGCAGTTATTTCTTCAGCAGGGTATGCATTTTTTTTTAAAGTTATCTTTAATTATTTTAATTAAATCTCCTACGCAATTCTTTTAGATTTATAGAGTCGCCCCAGAGTATAAAACGTTCTAGATCTGTCTTGCACCATCTGCAACTGGAAACTTCCAAATGAGACAACAGTCGCTCTGTTTGCAATCTACAGAGTTGTTAGCAATCTACATTTGGATAAGAAGCTAAATGTACCATGACATTTAACTAATATTGGACTGTAGTGGTTTCCACATGTATGGCAGTGGTCTGATCATCCAGACCACCTGCGTTTATGCAGATGGTATATTTGAAAGCAATTGTTTAGATGAGGGTCTGGCAGGGAATAGATCTTCCCACTCCAAAGAGGATATGAGAGGGAGAAAAATCCCATCACCTCCTCTTTTTCTTCCAATAAATTCTGTCTGCTCTCAATTAAAACAACATCTGCATATTTACTGCTGATATGAGAGTCATAACCAAGACCAAAACCAAATAGCAAAGAGGATTTTCATCTGCAGTAATAGTAGGTGACTTACCCATGCTGAGAATTTATTCACTTAAAACAAGTATATTAAGCATGAGCTTGGTATGAATCCAGGATTCACCATGCTAGAAATATAAAGCTTTCAAAAGCATACTGACCATTCAACTGACCTACAATAAACCCTTTCTGATATCTGTACTTGTATAATACGCAGGTAAAACTGTAGGCTACACTCCAGAAACAAATTCAGTGAAATTTATGGTAAAAAAAAAAGAGGCAGCTGTGGTTGCAAGAAATTTACCATGACAAATAAGGTAGCAACATTTTAGGTTATTTCAACAAAAATAATAAAATGTGAAGTGGCATGCAGGGGATTCTGTAAAACTGTAAATTGAACAGCATTTTACAGTAAAATTACATGTAATGTAAGGTTAGATCTATTACAGTTACACCCTATAAGGAAACTTACTGTTAACATATTAACAGGATTTTAAGGTCTCATTTTTAACAGTCTTTTACTGTTAAAATCACGATCATGTTTTATAGTGTAGCCTCCCTTAATGATCACCATCTAAAATAACACAAATGTTTGAGCCTTGACAAATTGATTAGCCTAAATAGATGAGCTATAGCCTACATTACAGGATATCACAAGCCTTTCTCTTTGGCGCTTGATGGAAAGTAAAAGTCTAAACTTGACGTGAGATCCTAATCTACAATGTAATTTACAATTTGTCAAACCATTCCTTTAATGAAAAAAAATGCAAAACAAAAGATCAGAAAAATGAATTCTACAGTGCAATGTACAAATATATATATATATATAAAAAAAACGATCTCAGGTTTCATTAACCGCAAAAGATTACAGCGTTACAGTCTCTGTGGTGATATTCCGATTTCTGTGACTGCGATCAAAACATTGTCACGTGTATTTAGTAGGCTATAGATTTTTTTTTATACAGCCTACCACAAGGAAATAATCAAATTTGGACAATGGTTGTGACTGCAGGAATTTGGGACAAAAGGTTTGTCCCTCAGACAAACTGTAGACAGTGGGCTAACTGACAGAAATTCCTTTAAAAAGATCAGCGAACAATTTGCTCACAAGTGACACGTGTGATTTCCTTATGCATTTAGTAAGTAGGCAAATAATGCCTGAAGGGTTTTAGCTTTTTTTTCTCTCTAATAAATGGATAGCGAGGTGTCGGGTTTACCTGAGCGGGGATGTTGCTTTTCTTCGGGATGTCGCTATATGAAGCGCTGGAGCGGTTAGCGGAGGTGATCTGGGGCTCCAGTGATTTGATGGAGTTCACCTGGGCTTTGCTCTCGGTCCCTTGAGTTTCTCCCATCCGCACTACCGCGATGATCAGCGTCAACATCCAACAGCTCCGACTCCGCGTAACGCTCAGCATCCTTTCAGTATTTTCTTACTCTGAATGAGAATGTGTTGGTTTCTTGGAGATAAGATGTTTCCTACAGCACTAGGTGCTTTGACCACCAAACTTTGGCTTAAAAAAGCATAAACTCCATTCTACAGTGTCCATCAAATAATCTGTCAGTGGGGGGAAAAACCCGTTAAAAAATAGCCTACTTAATATGCTATATTATAAAATCACAAAGATGTGGATAAGCTTAAAGCATCGGGATGCTGTACCAAAAAAAGAAAAGAAAGTGGCAGCAGAGAGGAGGATTCCTGCTCGAGTGTTTGTGAAGCTGCCCGCCGTTTCATGATGTGGTGGGATACCTTCTTTTTATAGGATGTGTTTCCTCCGCCCCCATTCTGTATTGACAAAAGATGACTGATATGTTGTGCGCCCCTGTTCACACACACACTACGGACTCGCAGAGACCTCAGGGAACCATCGGAGCACATTTGCGTTGGAGTTCAGTTATGGATGTTTAAAGACAATATGTTGAACCTATGAAGCATATGTTATTTCATGGGATTTCCAATCAGTCAGTCTGCCGATTACATCTGATGCATTATTTAAAGTATAGGCTATAAATAGTAGCCTACTGTATAATTAGTGAATTTTGAGTAAAGGTGAGCGCATTTGGGTGGGGGGGGGTTGGGGGGGGGGGGGGGGGGGGGGTAGCTCAAATCTATCTATCTATACTGTAAAAAAGCTGTTGCCTTAAAACAATCAACTTGGATGTTTAAATCATTTCAACTTAAATTATATAAAAATGACTTAAAAATGAGTTGAATCTTGTATAACATAAAAAAGTTGAAGATTGCTTAACTTATTTTGATTAGTTAAAGCAATGTAAAAACATATGTTGTCACTACTTATTGATCTTTTTTTTTACAGTTTAGTAAAAAGAGAATAGTAAAAAATTATGTATCACTTTTTTGACATATTTAATAAAAAAAAAACTAAATGCAGTTTAGCAAACAATAATATTGATCAACTGCAAACGTAATTATGAAATGTCAGTGTGAGTCCTTGCTTGAATTCGTTGCAGAGACCAGATGGAAGTTTCTCAGCTTAAAGCCAGGATTTTTAAGAACACTTGTCTACAAAGGACGAGAAACATATTTCTTAAAGTTTTGGATAAAAACAAGTTTCAAGATGATGATTTAAAACAGCTGACATGCAAATTGCACTTTAGATGTGTATGCTTGAACCTTTCACTATGAATCAGCTGATCTTGGAGGTATAAATTATATGAGATGGACGCATTAATAAATCAAATATGAAGGAGGAGCATGGAAGTAAGTGAACTGTAAATATAGTAATATTGTAATGCAGTCATGCCTTATGAAGATGAAATCATAGGGATTGTGTTTTTGGCAGCTAACATATAGCACTGAAAACAAAACTTCACTGGTATAAATGTAGCCGGGGTGGAAAATATATGGGACATGAAAGTGAGGAACAGGTTCAAGGGAGAATAAGCAGAGGAAAAATAAATAATCATTCCAATGAGGTTAACGGAGAACTCTGGGTGGCGTTCTGAAATTCGGTCATCGCCGCAGTGTTAATAAGCCAAACGAGCTTTGATCGCTACGATGCAATGCTCTGACATTACGGTCCAAAGGCTTTATCGACACAAGCCATCTCGTGTAGAACAAACAGAGACAAACTCAGAGCAGAGATCAGCTGTTGTTGTTTTCATTCAATTTTATTCAAATTTGGCAGCTTATAGAAGTTCAAATGTCAGGCACCATATAGCCAACAGGTGCCAACTTCTTCAGCTTGCTTATATCCCGTATCGACTGGATCGATTCCAGTAGAAATAATGCCGTGAGAGGTATATTAGAGAAACATTACTCATCTGTTCTGTCAATGAAGTGTGTCTTATCACTTTAATCATATGCCCAAATCCACTATGTCCTCTGCGTCAAAACTGAGGTCACATCTGCTTATTTTATTCCTTATTTTGCTTAACATAAACACACTGTAGGTCAACATTTGCATAGCACTAAGAAACTTAACAGATTTTAACAAAGACTCCATTGAAATGTTCAATTTGTTGATGTTCTTTGCAGTGTCCAAAATAGGCACAAATACAGCTATGGGCGGAATAACATACTACTCTTACTACACTGCCCGGCCAAAAAAAAGAAGTTTGGATTTAAATAGGCAAATGCTTAAGAGTCAATGACTGGATCATTATTGCAGTGATTACTATGTTTCTTGCATGTTATGTGTTCAGTTCTTCTAACCCTAACTGATGGAGTGTGTATCTTTTTATTTCTTAAACAACCACGTAAGAAGACACATCATGGTCATATTCCAGGATGACAATGTCAAGATTCATCAGGCTCAAATTGTGAAAGAATGGTTGGGAGGGAGAATGAAGAATCATTTTCACACATGAATTGGCACCTCTGAGTTCAGACCTTAAATTCACTGAAAGTCTTCGGGATGTGCTGGAGGAGACTTTACAGAGTGCTGGACTCTTGCATTGCAAAAATTGATGCGCATCTTAATGTTGATTCCATCAAGAGGTGATTTGACCACAAACAGTTGCATGTAGAATTGAGCAGTATCTCTGATAGCACACATACATCGCGGAGACGTCTGTTGTGGGTGCTTTCATCTGGAAGATGCATTTTTTTTAGAGCGCTTGATCATCTGCAATACGTCTCCAAGACGTTTCCTGTCAGATGTTATATAGACACTTAGAAAATGTCTTTAACCCTTTAGCTGTCACCCCCCTTTTTGAGCGTTGACGTGAAAATGCACTACCCAAACTTAAACGGTTGTAATTCATGAAGCCTTTGTACTAAAGACTTACGGTTGGTCTCTTTTAAAAGAAGACTCTTGGCAGATTATTGCTGAAGTTTTAATAATTTAATTAATAGAATTAAATTATTTAAAAGTTATTTAAGTTTAAGTTTATTGTTATGAAAATATAATAAAATATATATTTTTCTTTTATTAAAAATATATATAAATTAATATAGGTTTCAGCTTAAAAATTACAGAAAGTCAAAGCCATATATCTAACCAAGTTGTGTTCCAAATTTGAAGTTGATATCACAAACATTGAAGTTCCCATGAGATTTTGTTTAGGCGTAATACCAAAAATAGCCACCGGGTGCCATTGCATTCCATTGAATTTAATTGTATGCATTCTGCCATAACAAATTAATAAATTTCTATCCAAATATCACTTATGTCACTAAATATGGAACCTTGAGACTCAGACCTTTCTGACAATATGTGTTTTGTCAAGATTAGAACCTTTTTGATAATAAATTATGAAAGATGATGCCCAAAAGGGGAGGGGCCTGATAAAAAAATACCGTTTCTATGGTAACGCAACGTCCAATTTCAAAACGGTTTTCACAGGATGAATTCTGAGTTCGTAAGCTTTCAAATGATACCTAATTTATGATAACTACTAAAATATGTGATATAATAATAATAAAAAATTATATATATATATATATATATATATATATATATATATATATATATATATATTATACTTTTTAGAGGACTTTTTACTTTACTTTTTAAAATATAATTTTATCTTTTTTATTGACAAATACTAGATTATGTTTTATTATGAACTTTTAGCATTAAAAACCAAAGTTTCAATTATTAAAAGTGTGTGCGTCAACTTTTTGTGACAAAGGTCAGAAACTCCTGTAATGACGTCGATTTTTTGAGGCGCACTCTTGTCATAAATTCATATATTACTGTTCATACATAATTTGTAAGAAAAAAACAGCGCTAAAATATCTATTAAGGAGTCTTAGACCTTTCCAACGATATATAGTTTGTCATGACTAGATTAGGATTTAATATTAATATAGTGAAGTAAATTTAGGTTGCCCGTATACGGGCAGGTGACAGTTTTTAAGATGGGAAAGTATGTAAAACTACTCTTTTAAAGATGTTTATCAGATGTTTTTCAGATGAAGTGCTCTTTAAATCTTGGAGACGTACGTGTGCTATCTGGGATACTTTTTTTTCTCTAAGATATTCCGTGCGGTCCTTCTCAGTGAGCGTATTGATGTACATTTTGAGCACAACCACACAAGATGACAAATAAAACCTGATATTCAGACCCACCTCAGGGCTGCCAAACAGTATGTCTACATTAATAAAAAAGTGCAGCTTGTTTAAATGGAATTAAAATTGGAACAACAAAACAATTTGCTATCGGATTTACCCACTTCAACTGAAAAAATGTTTCTCGGATTTCGAACCCTTTGTCCCAAACCATGTTGTTTCCCGAATTTATTTTTCGACAAATGATGAAAAACAGGTGTGCGCGTTTTCTTGTTTTATTTCTGTAAATCAATTACCCATAAAATTCTGATAGAAGTCATGGCTTTCTAGATAAGTGAATACGCAAAAGAAGTGTTTTATCTTTTGCCAAGAGTAAAACAACAAGGAAAACTAAGGCCATGATTTGCATTCCGTAAACAAACGCTTAAATGACTAAATAAGCAGCAATGTATAATTCACATCTCATACAGTCAAAGTTTTTCTAATTTTCCTAATTATTTTGGGCTGTGATTTACAGTTGAGAAAAGTGTTAAAAATACTAAATAATACTACTACTATCTAGCTATCGATTATATAGAGTTTTACAGATGAGATGAACCAAAAATCAAATAAAAATAATGAAAAAACCTAAAGAGAAACACACTAAGAAAATGAATTACTGTTATTTGATTTCATTTAGCTAATGTTTTACTACTGATAATTGATTTGGTCAGTATCACTGATTTGCAGTATTGATATCTTGTTTGTTACAATATTTTGCATGTTTTAGAAAGTTCTGAATGAAATTCAAATCAGAGACAAACCTTCATCAGACTTGGTCAGCTGGTTCAGAGAGCTTGTTCCTCAAAATCCCTAAATTCCAGGAAGCTTTGGTGGTGGGATTTCTCATTGAAATGGAGGGAGCCGCCTCATCAGATAACCGCTCCTACAGTGTCCCCTTTTTTCCGGAAGATGGATTGGGCCATTTCCCTAGAAGTCACAGAACGGTCGAAGCATGAATGCAGCTTCTTGACTTCTTAATGACTCAGATTTTTTCTAATTGATAACAGTGAACGCTCTTTAGTGAAGCGTTAACCACATGAAGGGAAGCTGCTG